ATAGTACTTGTGACCCTTTTTGGAATTTGTACGTTTGCAGTCAACGACGTTTCATTGTGGACGGTTCAATGAGGAAAATTAGTTTTACGTCATTTATATTTTTTAATTCGGGTCGTTAAGGGTTAAAATACGAACGAAAGAGAGCTGGACAGTTATCTCCATTTCTTGCGCCCCTTTATGTAACATCTTAGCAAATTCCTTCAGGTAACACCAGGTGCGAAGCGGTCGAGAAATACAAAATGAGCCCAGAGCCCATTTATGCTTACTGTACGTGGTATGTTCTGCCGTCTCTCGATAGCTTTGTCATGAAGCATATTTGATCCTAACATTTTTAATCAGGGAACTAATGTAGGCCATCCGAAAGTTTTAGGCATTTTTCTTTTACTGTAAACACAATGAGTTAATTTGGTTTGATACAATACGCATCAACTACGTGTCTATTTTTCATCAGCACGCTGTGAAAGTTTAAATTTAAAATTTTCTGCGTGACAGTAACTAGGTCAATCGTCGACAGGTACACTTGCGTCCACATTAAGGTGCTCAAGAGATTTTCAGTAGCGCGTTAATGAAGGCTAAACATGTGAAGAATAAAACACCCAGTAATGGATCATATTGTTTGGTGCCTGATGTTTTCCGAGACATCACTTTTTATCACTGCATACCACCAGAAAATTGAGACTGTGCGAACGTCATTGATAACCTTCCTATAGTATATCGATACTGTTCTTAGCAATGTAGCTTGTTCTATCATTGGGTGCTTTACCCTAGCTTGAAAAATATTGCACCGAAACTATTCCAACGCTTACTTTAGCAATAACTACACTTTGAACTTAGAGGAGGGGCTCTGTATTAGAACCATAATAACCAGGTACAATACATACTGATGAGGGCAAACAATAATGCATAATAAAGGTAAGGTGAATGGATATAAATGATTAGTTCATTCCTAATTTCCCTATCTCAGAATGTCATGCCGGGAGCACTGAAACCTCGAAGAGTTCGGTTCAGGATATATTTACTAAGGACATTTTGACGGTTCACATCGAACATAGCCTTGGATCCCTCGTTCTATTGTCTTCTCCTAAACTTCACCTACTCCTCCCCTCTTCGTGAACCAATGGCAAATGTCGAGTCATAGAGAAGGTTCTTACTTTCATCCAGAGGTTATGAATAAGGCTCTTGTGCACAGGTTGGAGCCGGTACATTTGGTATTCATGATCATTGGTGCGGCAATGGGTGTCCTGGGTATCATCCTCCTGTTGGTGGGATGTCTTGCCACAGGGGAAACCAGGTCCAGTGTCTATCGAGCTGACAAAGCACGAGTCGGCGGACGCATTTGTGGTGCCGTGGTTAGTGATTGTTACTCAACCTTTCGCGATGAGGGAATGAATGCCTCTATCAATAATAAAACCTTTCAGTTTATGGGTATCGTCTACGTCCTGAACCTGGTGTGGCTGTTGATGCTCTGCTGTCTCGTGATCATCACAAGCACTTTCACTGTTTTCTGGGCCATCTGCTCTTCCGATCGTATCCTTGTTCACGATCGATGCATTGACTTCACTCAATTTGGTAGTGCTCCAGTGATTCTCAACTGGGACTCAGTTCCCCAACCACCTCTTTAATTATGTGTAATGTATATTATGGGGGTTTCTGGTAGGCTTCATGTTCCCGAACGCAACACACGATGACCAGATGACGATTTGTGACCCTGGAGAGAAAAAGCTGTTCTGTAAGGATTACGTGGAGAATGCTGAGGTCATGTTCATCCTGGCTACGGTTTCTTGTGTCATTGTCATTCTCAGCCTGGTGAGAATAATTTATCTTTTCTTTATGACTAGCCTGTCAATAATACACCATATAATAGAAGCTGAGCTGACATGATAACTCATTGCAGGTTCATTACCTCATGTGCCTGGCTGCAAATTATGCTCACATCAAAGACAGTGAAAAGTTCCGAGACCTGGAGGAGATGCAGCGGTTGCAAGATGCAGAAATGACTGGGCTGTCGAAAGAACGCTTCTAGGATACAGCCCAAGAAATCTTCAGGGAAGCACAAATAACTTCTGCTGACTCTTCCATCTCAGACTGCCTTCTACATGTTGCATAATCATCCGTCCATTCGTATAGGAGCTGAACTCTTTTTTTCATGACACCAGACATTGGCCTTAGCCAATGCCTACGTTATTTATTTTTACACAAATATTACAACCCTCTATGTTTGAACTATATTGTCCATGTTATCTTGTTCTGTGATTTCCTGGAGATTTCTTGTTAAATTTACATATGATGATTGCATGTCTTTGTGGATTTCTGTATGTGTTCTTCATTGGCTCACATATTACTTTCAAGCTTTATTTCCTGTTGTGGTACACCTGACAGCGAGAAAAGGCATTTGCACCCAGTGCATTTATATTGTGCTTGATTTACTATTATTTTGTCAGTTCTGGATGATTTGTGATGCTCATTCCATGCTTTCCCCCCCCTCAAATCCAGAAGGCAAATGAGCTGTGACTGTTCTGCTTCTCATGCACAGTGATCTGCTTTCTCACAAATATCAGTTGGAAAGACCAACTGTGTATGATCTCAGTCCATCATTCTACAACTAGTTCTTGGTCTTCTATGAACTGCTTTTTGCTCATCTTTTGCTGTTTCACTTTCAAGTATGTGATCAAATACACAATATCATGTCTCAGTTGCTGAATTAGTCCACAATAATGTTCAAACCTGTTTCATAATTACAATTCTCAGATATGTGCATCCTTAGCACAAAAGACCATCCCATCCACCCAACATCACTGTGATAACTGGAGTATCTTGAAGTCTTGCATCATCAGGAACTTCAACAGACACTAAGAAAAGCTGCAGCCCTCCTTTAAAATTCATTCAGACTGTTTTGAAGCAAAAATGCCATTTGAGGCAAAGTGTATCATGCAGACTTCCAGTAACAGATCCAGGATTTCACAATGGACTTGATTTTTTTTTTTTT